TGAAGGCAGGAAAGAGCTGACACATCAAGCCAGCCACTTGGAAAGTTCTGATGCCTCCTTGGCTGGTGTCTGGGAGTTGGGATTTCAGTTTATCTTTATATTTATATACGCATGTATATGCAGTTAGATATGGTTGGACATGTTAGGTATATCATGTAGATACTTATAAAAATATGCACATAACTATACTCATAGTTCTGTATAAAACATGCATACCATACACATGCATACCAATGCCACAAAGGTTGCTTGTTTATATTTAATTTCTTGTTATGCCAATTTATTGAATATCTAATTGTAATTCAAAGTATAATTCTGCGTGTGTGTGTGTGTGTGTGTGTGTGTGTGTCTTTGTGTGCATGCAAAGGTGTAGACCCATACATGTTCTTAAATGTATGAATGTGGGCACATATTTGTGTGTGTTGTTTGGAAATAAGCATGTGTGCATTGTTGCACAACACTGATGGTGCCTTCATCCTTTACAATGGGGTAGTAGCACTGTTACAGTGGGGTGGGCATGCTTGATCATGCTTCATTCTGTGCATGGAACTTGCATGCTTCTAGAGCACTGATTTTGTCTACCATGTTACTAATAATGTGTCGATGTTTCAGCGTCTTTCTTAGATGGAGATCTACAATCTATGTCACATGTTAAGTCTCTCAGATACCATTTGAAACCAAGCACAGATAAGTTTTCAGTTTCTCCTTCCTCCTCCACTGCACTTTCAGATTAGAGGAAATCACCCCCATCAAGTAAGTCTAACTATGCTTACTGGCTATCCAGAATTTGGTGAAGAGCAGGAAATTGTGGGTTCCCAGGATCCAGTGATGCTGACAAGAAGACTTCCAGGTGGGCTGTTCCTACTGCAACTGTTGCCACAGGCATCCAGGCTGAGACAGCAAAGGGGCATCTCTGCTGGGCAACTGTATAACTTCTCTTCTTCCAGATTCTGCTGCTGCAGAAAGGAAAAGGATTTGAAGCTCTGTGATTAGATAGCTGGTTTATTTTATTTTATTTTTTTAATTTATTTTTTCATTTATTCATTTATTTATTTATTTGTTTGTTTATTTATTATGTACACAGAAGAGGGTACCAGATCTCATTACAGATTGTTGTGAGCCAGCATATGGGTGCTGGGAATTGAACTCAGGACCTCTGGAAGAACAGTCGGTGCTCTTAACCTCTGAGCCTTGAGGCCACCCTCCCTAAATCCTGTTAGGCTTTGAGGGTAGCACAATGCTTATACTTCATCTAGAAATCACAGGAAGAATTTCCCCACAGTTTTTCTTTTATAACTGAGATTTGATTGGTTGAGGACCAGTAGAAAAAGATGTTAATTCAGTTTTGTTCTCTTTCTTTTTGCATGCCACAGTTCTTAAGTGTAGGTTTCCATCCACAATATGGAACACTGTGATACCTTGCCTAACTCCTCAGATCTCTAAGGTACCTCCTTCCCATTGTCCTTCAAATGTCATGTTAGGGCAGGAAAAAAGCATCCATGGAAAAGAAGAATAAAAAGGAAACCCAACAATAAAGGACCCTGAGTTAGAAGGATTGCTGGAAATCTGAGACCAGCCTTCAGGGATAAACTTTCAGGGAAGGAGAGAGGCATGAATGCAAAGGACAGTGGGAGATTGGGAAGGGGTATTCTCAGAGGGATATGTCCATTATTTTCTACTCCTAATCTCCACTTGTGTTTGTTAGAAAAGGTGAAAACAGCTGAGACAGAGTCAGCACCTGTCCCAGGACTCCACTTTCCAAATGGTACAGGATGAACTGCTGTTACACTGCTATCCAGTGAGTGACAGCCTCAGAAGTCATCAACTACCATGATGAGAAGAGGTAGGGAAAGCCTCATGGCTTTCTGCTTTCTGGTCAATCCCACATCGAGGTGTGTTTAATGATGGTGAAGGGACAGACTGGAGGGCAAATTTCAAACAGCTCTGTTCCCCAAGCTGCAGGTCCTGCAGATGGCACAATACAAGCCTCATGATGAGAGACTCCTGATGATAAACTGAGCATCAGAAATGATAGACCAATATTTGAACCGTGTACATATGGACTGAGTCTGACCTTTCCCCAATGACCTTCCTCTTCTCAGCAGTGAAGTTCTGTAGTAGGAAATGATGATTGGATGGAAAATTGTCCCCAAGCAATGATGATAACTGAAGCCTTCAGGCACATCCCCTAATTACTAGTCCAAAGACATCTGCATAGCTTCACCACCTATGTGCTTCCCTGAGCAGAGTGTGGCCTAGCCTCTGTGACACTATACAAGGAAACATTGTCATGGTTACATGTGTGCCCTTGACACATTGGCAGCTCAATCTATTAAAGTGGGCTGTGATTCACAACAATAATAACATGAGCAGGAATCAATTTCTGGTAAGTCAGTGCAGACATTCTTTGTGGGAAGACCTGATCTCACATCAGTGAGTGGACATGACAAGAAGCTTTCTTGAAAGAGATCATGAAGGCATGGTTCATTGTTCCAGGGGTTTTCAAGGTAGAAGACAAATGACATTTTGAGAAGTGTTTCCATAGCAAGGACAAGAGGGACACACTCATAGTGCATGCCATGAATGACATACAGGAGAGGACACCATACTCACACTGCATAAGAGGCCCCATGAAGATCTGTACAACCCTCGTGTGCCTATCAAGGCAGCATCTAGATCAATGGAGGACCAGCCTCTGTTTTTATATTTACTCCCTGTGATATCCCTTCATGGGAGCAGATCACAGAAGGAAAGGCAGCAGGGACCTTGTTGGGACTCTACTTTGTTATCTTTATTGAGAAGCAACAATTTTCCACATGAGCTCAGAGTGCCTCTTTACCATGGCCACAGTCACCAATGTAACAGCAAGGACTCTCCCAAGCACCACTGTCTCTTTCCACTTCCCCTTTCTTTTTGTGTAATATGTAGTTTATTTCATCTGGAGTCTGTGCTGTGTGTTGGTGTCTGTGCCCATTTCCCTTGGAAAGAGCCAATGTTCATCAGAATATACTTGAGATGTAAGAGAAGAACAATAAATACAGTACTCTATCAATATCCACATGTTATTTTTATTCAGAAAGGCTGAGCATAATTCAAGGCTAATTACAAATACAAAGTAGTTCCAGTCAAACCTGCACTCAAAATTATCTGCTGCTTCAACACTGAAGAGAAACAGGTACCAACAGTCCCAGAATATCGATATAACCAGGCTTAACACTAACACATAAACTGCCTGGACACAGCCACACACTTAAAGTACACCAGGCCAAAACGGCCCTTGAAAAGGCCCATGCTAAGCACCTTAAGTGAAAGTAGACCAGAATTAACCATTAAACCATGATATCAAGACAGAAGTATTCCAAGGCCTAAGGATGAACCTGATGAAGACCAGAAATAACGCCTACATTAGCAATGGCTTCCCTCACACAAAAGGCCAGGGACCAACCCTAGG